ACAAACACAGAAAAACGCACACACACAAACTAAACATCGATGCGCTGAGTGGGATTCGAACCCACGATCCCGGTTCCAAGCGAGCGAAGACAGTACATGCCTTAGCGAAGGTTTACTGTACTAAAATCCACTCTGTGGAAAGAATGTAGCGCATGTAACATTAAAGTTGTCGATATGTGCAATTACCACTGTGCTGTAAACAGTTATATCCAAAAAATGTGTTCCGTGCATTCAAAGCATGGATGCCGCAAACTAGTTATGTGTATTGTGGCGTGAGGTCGTCCTATACCGCTGTTTTCAAGTGAACTTCTGCGTTATGGGCCCGCCCGATCTCATGGGAAGATAATCCAGCTCGTTTTATCGAGTGGGTAGAAGGTACACCGCTGCTTTCAAGTGAACTTCTGCGTTATGGGACGGCCCGACATGATGAGAAGAGAGTTCCACCCTTGTCACTGAGTGGGTAAAAAGTAAAGTTGTCCCTGTGCTTAACTGATTAAGCACTACGCCATGAAGGCGTATGGATGAGTGGATGTATAGATCCATATTTTCTTGACCTCGGCACTAGCTGGAGGTGAGTGGTCAGCTTCACGCCCCGGCCGCTTTACCCCCGGGGATAGAGCCTCCGGTACTCGTCGGATAGGAGATTGTGTGAATCCCAGAGCCGGTCTGGACGACGTGAAAAAGAGAAAATTCTTGACTCTACTGGAACTCGAACTCCGACCTCCACCCCCACGGTCGTCCAGCCCATAGCCAGTCGCTATACCGACTACGCTATCCCGACCCCTTTTAATGAGTGGGGGACAGTCATGAACTGTCTTCGTTCGCTCGAACACTGCGATCGTGGGTTCGAATCCCACTCAAGGCATGGATGTCTGTATTGTGTGCGTTAATTCTGTGCTTGGGTAGAGGCCTTACGACGGGCTGATCCCGCGTTCAAGAAGTTCTACAGACTGTGTAAGCATCAGGAACCTGAAAAATCGGCCAAGGCCCTAGGAAGGGCTGTAGAGCCATAATAATAAAAAAACAACAAAAATCCCACATTTGTGTTCAAAATTTGCTTCCGATCAACTTCTTTTCCTCGACGGACAAACTGAGATCGCTATCCTGAAATAGTGCAAAGCACGCTGAGGAGAAGAGGGCTGCAAAATATAAATCAGTTTGGTTTCCTTGCACGTCAGAGCACGGTAATTCGATGTATGAAGTATAAGGACCACGTGGCCATAAATTTCGTAAACAGTGTATTCAAGACTGATGTATTGTTGTACTTCAAGAAAACATTTGTTTTGATACAACATGGCATCCAGACTTACAAAAATTATTAAAATTACAATTTTCAGCCAGCATTATGAAAATTATTAGCTATTTTTATCCAAAAAAATTAAAATATCGTATCCCGAGCTGTTCCGTTGTATTAAAAAATCGTATTTCTTTCGCATTAAAATAAAGCATCAGAACAATATAAATAATTACCTTGGTGAAATTCGTGCCTTTTTTGAACCATCTTTTGTTCGTCTTCAGGGACTATCCACATCACATAGCCTCTTCCAGTTTCCATGAATATTGTGACGTGACGGCTGAAAGCCGGAATAGTGGAACCAGAGCCAGACTCCCGTTGATGAGCAATGGAGCGAACGTATATCAGCGAACGAGTCGTTACCAGGTAACAAGTTGCTAAACACAAGATTTCAGCCAACAGGACAACAGAGGCAAATTAAATGTTCAACGTCGTGTCTTCTATGCGGGCCGACTAGCAGTTACGAAAGGCAGTGGATTCTGGAATTGAAGAGTAGAAGCAGAGAGATCAGCCCACGATTAGTGAGAAATTCGTCAGACAGAACTTATTCAGGATTTCAATGCGTGAGCTGTTATAATCAACTGTAATTGCAATATAGGCGTACAATACGTCCAATGACCAAATCTAGAACCCACTGTTATTAGTCACGTAACTCCTTTTTACATGAGAATATATACAGTAACATAAGAAAATAACATTAATTGCCGTAATAGGAAGGTATCAATTTCTCTGTTACACCCCTTCTAAAATTGTGTTAAAGTCATGGTAAAAACTTTCAACAGAAGCTTACAGGTGTTCAGCAAATCCATGGGCTATCCACCAGCATTACACCCCATCTGTTTAATAGGCCTTTCATTAGTGCTGCTGTTTTGATCAAAATTATCGCTTTCCAAGTTTCCTGGTTGATATGCATATGAATGCTGATATATGGATGACACGATACAGTGCACATAGAAATCCCTGAGCTAACTGACTTCCTGTAAACATCAATTTATTTGTGGTCAGCTTCTCTGTTAATTGTTTAGGTTAAAATAACTGTTTTAGGGTTGCCTTAAAATTCGACTGTTAGCAAACTCGGTGCGTTATTAAATACTAGGCTGATCAGTTCAAGTTCTTTCTTGGCATTGTCCTAGATAATTGCAAGTCCTCAATGTATCTGCTGTACTATACAATTAGTTAGGATTTAATGAGTTCCTTCTCCGAATTTCTGATGATGTCTGGGATGTCAGTTCTGATCCAAATTTAAATTAAAAGGGCTGCCTTTTCTTTACAGGTTAACGTATCATAATTGCGTATTATCTTTCATAAATACAAGTTATTTAGTCAATTCAGATACGTCAGTTCGCTGGCAACGTTTATGGACTCTTCAGTATTAAATTCATTGGGCAATGAATTCCTTAGTTTGCTGTGTCCAAGAGTAGTGCAACAACAGCGCAAATTCTAGACTGTACAGACACGCCTGTTTTTGAACAACGCGTTCCTTTTGCGCGACGCCCAATACACTAGCGCAGTTTCAAAGCTTCCGTTTCATTCGTTGTTGCATTTCCTACGTCCTTCCATTTTGTAATCGTTTCCAATTGGTTTTTCTTCCAAGATGATCTAGACTCGTTATTTATTATTTGTCATACACCGCACGAGGTAGCGTAGTTGGTTGACGCACTATGCTACAAGCCGGAAGATCACGGGTTCGATTTCCGATGAGGTCATTGGATTTTTCAAGTGAATTATTCCTTCCAGCCTCACTATGGCCCTGGGATCGACTTAGCCTCTAAGAGAAAGTAGTGCCAGGAATCTTACTGGGGGTAAAGGGCGACGGGCATGTAAGACTGACAACGTGACCGCCATCTGTGAGCCGACTGTCTAGAAAAAGTGGGAGCCTCGACGTCTCACAACTCTATGGGCCTTGACGGCCAATTAGAGGGACAGTTTTACCTTACCTTTACCATATACAGTCAATTAAAACATATTTAGGTTTGCTCTTTACTGAAAATTTTGTGGGTGTCTGTTTTTTATGCTAAAAACTAAACTTTAGCTCAAGTTTGTTGTCTGTGGTTCTATATGCCTTTGAATATTTCGTACTTTAAGGTTTTTGTAGCTAACCGTATTGTAGATTATTACATTGTACGTTACAAATATGGCTGTATACACAGTATGTCCAGGTTCTGTTAGGACTATGTTCATTAAAAATACAAGACGTGAATTATTTTCAAAATTTCACTCTTTTATCCAAAATAGTCTCCTTCTGAATCAATTCATAGCTGGAATCGATTGAAAAGTTCCCAAAAACAGTCACTGTATTCCTAATAGGCCTGGACACACCGTATATATTTATATATATTTAAACTTTCTATGTTTGGAAGTTCTAACGTTAAAACGTTCATTTACAAGGGTACAAATGGAATGAACAGAATTTGTAATGTAAGTAACGAAATATTTAACAATTTGTAATTATCGGTACATTTCTAGGCAAAGGAAATTTAAAATTTTACCACGTCAATGAATCAACACGGAACAATACAGTAAACGGCAAAATCATGGAAACGGTGTTCTCTATGCGGTTAGTGCTGGAGACTTATAAATTGGAGTGAAATACGGTAATATGTTGCCCGTGTGGGTGCGGGTTCGAATACCTCCACCGTGACCCTGCTAGTCGTAAGGAGACGAAAAGGGAAGTCTAAAATTTGAGACAGTAATATATGGTTTCGAGTACCAAGGGATTCGGACCCGAGAAGGACTGCAGTGGCAAGGACCAGCAGCATGTACAAGAGACAGACCCGTCCTCTCGTCAGAGAGAGCGCCCACAAAAAAACAAGACCGCAACTGTCAAACAGTAATAAAGATCTGGTCGTAAGCCCCAGATGGGTGCTTTATGCCAAGACAGACTGGCCGACTGACCGTCGGTCTTAAAATGAGACTCAGACTCAGGTAATAAATGCACTGCCGTTGTAGCGGAAGCTACTGGAAACAGGACATAATCCGCTGTACTTAGCCTGTAATGACAGAGGCCTGTATATACGTATTTTATATACATATATTAACATGTAAAATGTAAATATCCTTTACATTATGACAAATGACTTACTATTACAGACAATTACCCTGGCATAAGACAGACCCATCTTCTCCTCAGAGAGGGACCCCATCAAAAACAAGACCGAAATTGTCAAATAGTAATACATATCTGGTCATAAGCCTCAGATTGGGCTCGACACCAAGACAGCCTGACTGACTGATCGTCAGTCGCAATATAACTTCGACTTTGGTAATTAATGCGAGGTATAGGGCTACTGCAATTCCACTCTTTAGTGTATCAGGCAATGCTATAGGCAAGCTGGCATCGTATGACGTCACACACTTAAGATGTCCGCTGGTAATAGTCGTGCTGTGTATATGAGAGTGTGCAGGAAAAGGAAGCGGTTAGAAGGAGATAATCGTAATAATGTACCCAAACGAACAAAGTTACGTGCCGAACTACAGCGTGGATATTCAGAAACACATACAAGTCTATGCTGAAAACATGCGTAATTAAAAAATCCCCGCAAATGTGGACAATTTATCCTGTATGAACTACGTTTCATACTTTAGCTATCATCGATCTATCTTGAGCACAACCAATCACCAAGATCCTCAGCTCATTAACGTAACTACAAGCTTAACGAAATGTGGACAATTTAACCTGCATGAATTACGTTCATACTTAGCTTACATGGACCTGTCTTGAGCGTCTTGAGCACTACCGATCAGCAAGCTCCTCAACTCACTGACGTAACTACAGAACTGAACGAAATGTAGACAATTTATCCTGCATGAACTACTTTTCGTACTTTAGCTATCATAGACCTATCTTGAGCACAACCAATCTTTGACGTGACTACAAACTAAACGCTTTGGGTAATTGAAATAAATAATGTACAGTACGATAGTAATGTTTCAATAAAGCTGTAATTGTAACGTACATAATAGATTTTTTTCATTACAAATCCCAATTTCACTATGTTTTCAATGTTAAACCTGGGAGCCAAGGTTCCCCAGTCACTTTCTTTCTTTCTTTCTTTCTTTCTTTCTTTCTTTCTTTCTTTCTTTCTTTTTTTTTTTTTTTTTTTTTTGTACTTTCCCCTTACACATGTAAGACACTGGCATATATATCGTATTTCATCACGTGTGACATTCAATGGTGATGTCTCAGTCAGCACGAAAGGCTGCTGTCGTGCTGACTGAGACATCAAAATATTTATAATCTATATAAATAAAAAACAGATAAATAAGACGAAAGGACATCATGGTGTAGGTACGGGCGGTGTACTTTGGAAGCTAACGGAAAAATCACCTCACCGGGCCGGGCGAAGGCTGCGCCAGTAACCCTATTTTGAAGGTGCAGTTTGTACACCGTTAGGCCCAGCTCTATGTGTAAGCCGTCCACAGTCAATAATGTTTTGATTGTAACATAAAAACAGATACCCCACGATGAAAGAGTTGTAATTGACGATATGTGACCGATTATAATAAACAACGCTATGGATTAAAAAGGCAAATCTATCCCTGTAACAGGCCATGGAGGCCCACGGGGTTGTGAGACGTCGATGCTCCCACATTTTCTAGACAATCGGCTCACAGATGGCGATGAGGTTGTCAGTCTTACGCGCCGGCCGCCCTTTACCACCCACGAAAATTCCTTGTACTCATTCATGTTACAGTCTGAGTCGACCCCAGGGCCATTGTGTGGTTGGAAGGACTTGGTCAACTGAAAAATCCAATGACTTCATCGGGAATCGAACCCGCGACCTTCCGGCTTTTATCATAGTGCGTCAGCCAACTACGTTACCGCGTGACCCGATTATATAGGTAGCAAATTCAACCTTAAAATACGATCTATACTCGGTTACTATATTGAGCATTGTTTATTATTGTCTGCTTTTACATTGGTTTCACTGTTCTCTGTAATCTTGCACTTTACACTTCGCATTAGGCTACACCGGCCTTCCTACGTGACTGGCCAGTTTCCGTGTGTTAACTGCCGCAAGATATCCTACAGTTTCCTCTCGTCTCGTGCCTTGGCATATTACCGCTCTTTCTTTGCAATGATTAAACTGTATATATCACTTGCTGTCCGTATTTGTAAGGTATTTGCCAACAAAAATTTTCCCTCTAAAGCGAAACAAATTCGTGTCAAATTTTACTGCTAAGTTTGGAAATTTTACGCTTTCTTTACGCTACAGCCTCCTTATTTCTGTTTCTGTTCCGTTATTAACATATCAAAATTTATATTTAATTTCAAAGAAAATTATTTGCATTTATCGCCTAATTTTGGTATAATCAGTCTTATATCACCACGATCTGCATTCCGTAGCAGCAAATGATATATCTCTCTATTCTTACTGTATATTTTCTAATGTATAAAGATTGGGATTAATCAATTATAATTATTCTGCCCATTTCTTTAGTTCCTTCGACTGAAAATCTCGTATCCGGTGGTTTGGTATTTAAGTAATTTGCTATTATATTTCTACTTACTTACTCATGGAGCTGAGCCCTTCTGGAGGACCCGCCAATTCTGCAGCTACTCAAGAATTTCCCAGCATTTTATGGAACCCGAAGGTTCATTACCGTGTTCACAAGAGCCCTCCACTGGTCCCTATCCTGCACCAGATCAATCCAGTCCATACCATCCCATCCTATCTCTCTAAGATCCATTGTAATATTGTCCACCCACCTACGCCTTGGTCTCCCCAGTGGTCTCTTTCCTTCCTGCTTTGACACCAATATCCTATAAGCATTCCTCGTCTCCTCTATTCGTGCTACATGACCTGCCCACCTCATCCTCCGTGTCTTGATCATTCTAATTATACTTGGGGAAGAGTACAAGTTATGAAGCTCCTCATTGTGCAGTTTTCTCCAACCTCCTGTCACTTCATCTCTCTTCGGTCCAAATATTCTCCTCAACACCCTGTTCTCAAACACCCTCAGTCTATGTTCCTCCCTTAATGTCAGAGACCAAGTTTCACACCCATACAGAACCCAGGCAAAATTATAATGTATATTCTAATTTTTATGTTTTTGGACAGCAGACGAGAA